GGCATGTGGGAGCATTTGCTTCCTTATCTGGCTGACTTCAAAACCAGGCTTTAGGCTTTAATTAACACTTTCAGTGTGCTGCATTTGCTCTCTAATTAGACAAGAACATGTTTCAGGGAGTGATGTACACACATTCTTTCCCTTGTCATTATTTTATAAATCCTACCTGTACTCAGAATTCAGGAAGAGATGTTATCAAACTAGTAAAGCTGTTAGCATTCCCATTTGCATTTATCTTTATCCTTTCATAGTTATTTTTCTATTAGTTTGAGAAAACATCAAACAGCTAATGCTCAATAGCGGAGCCCTCTGAAAGCCTGAGCTGTGCAGCTCTGCGGGACAATTCACACTGTGGATCAGACTCAGATGGTGAATGCATCAGCCTGCAGAAATCTCTCTAGACAGGATGCTGCAGCTCTGTGACTGCCAGTGGAGGAAAGTGAGAAGGGGCTGGAGGAGGGAAGACAGGTATTCAAGAAGGAGTCACGTCCCCAAACAAGAATTTCACACAACCGTGGAGGTTGTCGAACATTATGAAACTCATCTCCAAATACATCTCATTTTACAGATTTTATATCCAGATGTATGAGGCTAAACAGCAATGTAACAACAACAGGAGATGGGGATAGGAGAGACACTGACCTGGAAATTATGTATTAGTCCCTCCAAAGACATTCAAAAGACACATAGCCCTGTCCTAAGAAGGCAGAAGAAGCAGATGGAGGGATGTCTCTTCTATTTTACTGCCTGCTTTTTCATATGTGCCTGTCATCCTCCATGAAAGAAGAACTTTCCATGAGTGAGAAGCTGTATAAGGAAAACCTGCAGGTGGATTTCTTATTCTCTGCCAAACCTCTGGAAACTTCTGAAAATCCCAGGCAAATATTGTTCTCATAATAACACAAGAAGGAGAGCAGCTTTCCCATGGTCGGGGGAAGGAGAAGCAACAGCCCTGTGATTTCATACAGCTCCTTCTCGAGTCAGAGAGACGCTTTATGGGCAACTTGTCTGTTTTCTAGAAATGAGTGTATGAGATTGGGAATTATTAGGATCAACATTTTAGGAGTGATAGCATGGCAGGGTTTTTTTTTTTCATCAGTTATTTGATTAGTCATCCCAGACACTTGCTCCCCTGAAATGTGAAAGGCATCATTATAGAAAAGCTTGCATGAGCAAAGCTAGTTGGTAATGAGAAGTTGTAGCCATTACTGTGTCCTTAACATGGTTTTTACACTGGTAAATCAACAACTTCATTAGAGCTGCTATTGATTTGCTTGAGGACATAAGGTGTATATTTTCAGAAAAGTATGGCAGATTTCTTTCAAGATACTAGACTTAAAATAGATTTATTATATCTAATTGAAAATGCCTCCAGCAAAAGTCTGATCAAATTTACAGTTATCCCATATAAGTATCTTAGGGATATTTTCGGTAAAATTGAAAGAAATGTCAATGAAATTTGTGTTTCTGATAGGGGACAATAGTTGTCAGTTGCTAAAAAAAAAAAAAAAAAGGTCTACATTTTCAACAGAAAATAGCCTTTTGACTATTGAATCGAATATAAACATTTTTGCAAGGATACTAATTTCAGCTTTTTGTAAAGTACAAGTGTGCATTTTTCAAAGATAGTATAGAAATAATCCTCTACACAAAGTTTTAAAATATCTGTTTTCAGGATATTGTTGCAAACAGGCTATGAATTCACAGCCAGTTCAGTGAAACGTATTCCTCTTAAATGAAATTTCCTGTGTACACAATCCAGTCATACCTCTGGGACAAGACACATACTCAGTAATTAATCACATTATTCAGCCCTTGTGGTATTTACCACCTTCCTTTAGGCAATAAACTCCAGAGCCAGAGAGATAAGTATCATACAGTAGCAGAAGAATAGAGAATAGCCTGGAGCCTGCAGAGGATATGAATGCATTTCCTTACGATGTTCCACTGCAATTATACGCTCATAGTATGTATTTTTATATACATATATATATATGAAAAAAAGCACAAAGACTTTGTTTAAATAAATAGAACAAGTATTCTATGTAATACTGACAGCTGTCTCAAATTTAACAGTGTACGCAACATATTTTCTCTGCGTACATTCAAACAGAAAGAAAGAACACACGGAATTCATTTTTTGGAGCATTATACAAGGCCGAGATACATAATTTACCCTGACTCCAGACCAAGTAAACCGCATCCAGGCGGCACGCTTGCTCTTCTATTTTGTTTACTGGCACATCTTGACTGCATCTAAAACTCACTGCAATGCCAGGCCTGTATCCGAGGAACATGCAGAGATGTACGCTGAGTTGGCACTCAGTGCATCAATCCCGAATCCCTCTGAGGTAGATGCAGAGTAGAAATTAGCCCCCTTTTCAGTAATAAGGCCTTTTAGCAGAATATAAGGGATCTGCCTCCCCTCTTAAGCTGCTGGAAGTCAGTATGAGTTCATTTGAGCCACTATACTTAATTTCACATTAGTGTGAATAGCTGATGGCAGCTTGTCCCCACCCAAATGGACATTACTCATATGTAATGTCCATTACTCATCCATACAATGGACATTGGACTGAGAGGAGATGCATATCTAGACTATCAGCACTGAGAGCTACAGAGCAACCTCAGTGTAAAGGACGCTGAAGTCAGACATCAGTTTTTGTAACTTCAGATTCTTGTAGAAAACAGTGTATGAAATTTTGCTGTTGCTTATACTAGGATACCTGCAGAATGAGGCAAGTACAGCTGGCACACTTTTGTAATTACTGGCATATAAGTTAGAGACTTCAATATATCCCTTTTCATGAGAGAGAGTATTAAACAAGTTCCTTGTTTTGAACAGCCCCATGCACTTGTGGAATATAAGGGTGGGCATCCAAACACTAGTTTTGCAATAGAGGTTTATCTGCAGATGATGGCAATGTATATATGCACTTTTAAAATATATATACCAACAACAAAATTTAAGGTAGTTGAATGCAAAAAAAAAATGGAAACTGGAGAGCCTCTCCAGCTGGTTTGCAGAGTTTCTGACCTAGTCTGTCACTGTGCTAACATTAGACCCCTTACACATCCTCGGCGCAACACCATCTTCTCAGGCATTTGTGTTGTAGCTGTGTAGCTCTGACATTCGTCTCTGCATCAGCTGGATCCAGTGTTTGCAACCATGGCGTAGGGAAAAGCAAAGTCTGCCTGGAAAGCAGACGCCATTGCACTTGAGACAGGGCCAGGCTGCAGTACTGGAGCTTCTGTGCACCAGGTTCTGCCCTTCATTTCAAAACCTTATCATTGCATAAACCAGCTGTGCTCTGGTAGTGCTGGGGTGTAGCTCAACTTAAGCTAACAAAGGCTTTTAGATAACATTGCTTAAAGACTTCAGTCAACACTGTATCAGGGTGGATAACTGGAGTTAAGAATGAACATTCTTGGTGCAATCAGCTGATTTGCAAAGTAAAGCAAATTATATTTCTTGCCTGGGGATTTGCAGTGTCCCTAAAGGAAGGAAACTCAGTCCAAAAAGAAATTTTGAAACCAATAGAAATTGAATAACATTTCATTCCCATTTGTGAAGTTTTTTTTTTTCTACAAATGTTTTCTGACTATTGCATTAAAAACAAACCGTCAGTTAGCCCTCAATAAGTATATTTATATCACTGATTCTGAAACTCTGTCAGTAGGAAAGGCAGTAGACGTAGCTGGGTCTCAACCTGTAATTCCATACGGTTACCACTCCCCACCCAGGATGGAAAAATCACTGAATATGCTGGAACTGGTCACTTTTCCTAGGTGATGGAGTTTGTGCATGTAGGAACTGGGGATCATTTTGCCTATCCCAAATACTATGATTTGAGTCACATTTGAGATAATATTGTAAAAAGTCTGAGAAAAGTAATTAGCATTCCATAGTTTTGCACACTAACTTGTTCTTTCAGATCTCAGTTTCATAGCAGAAATGTATACATACTCTTTGAGACCTATTCAGATACATCCCTACAGCAAGGGAGCTATCACAGCTTGTAAGCAGACTCCAGTCCCAAGTCTCAAACTATTAGCCAGTCTCCGCAGTGATCTCAGTTCTACCTGTCCTTCGTGCCAACAGACAGCAGGCTTGGGCTTATAAGGTAGTTATGTGTTAAGTGAACAAATTCTACTCTCACAATGCTGCTAATCAGAAATAGTGCTACTGAAGTCAGAGAAAGCAGTCAGTGTAGACTTGTGAATTTTTATCTGTGATGAATATGGCATTCTGCAGAGACAGGCTTTTACTCATGACCCCGAACAGGTGCCCATCAAAGCAGGAAGGCCAACAGCTCTTCTATCTCCAGTAGAAATCAGGGAAAACCACAAGATGTCCATGACACTGGCTCTGATTCTGATTACACAAACAAGGAGAAGAGCATGGTTGCTTTAACTGCATGTGTGATGATTCTGCTGGTGCTCTTGTGCAGCATTTTTATTGCTTCCAAATTTACTTCAAACAGATAAGATGCCTTGTTTGCTTAGGCCTACTATTTCTTGGGGATTCCTTTCACTTCTCTGTTTGCTAGCTTCTGTATTTGGAAAGCTCTGCAGCCACCCACTTCATGCACTGCCAGGTCCACCCTAGTCCTATGCTTCTATTGAGTTGATTATTAATATATCACAAACTATCTAGTCTTCAATTAGTGCCAACGTTAATTATGCATGACTTGGCATTATTACACAGATTTGTTATATGACAGTTAATGGTCTCACCCTTTGTTTTTTCAAAGGCACTTGGAGTATCTGCTTAGTTACTGTCCTTTACACTGTTAAAAAATCCCTGTCCTCTAAGAACCAATAGAAACATATATTTAAATATATCCATTTTTTTATCTCAACGTTTTGGGGTAAAGGGGCAAGACAGGGACTTGCTCAGTTTGCTCAGCTTTTTCAAACTCAACTATGCCAGTTATGACAAAAAAAAAGTGGCAACTGAATCCTTTGTTATCAATCTTACAATTGATTTTGTGTCACAGATTTATTATTCTTCAGGAGGACAGGGTCATTCCTCTTCAGGATTTCAGAACAGGATCACAGCCGCAACAAATCCAGGGAATGCCTCAATAACAATCTCCAACATGCAGCCCTCAGAAACTGGTTCTTACACCTGTGAAGTTCTCAGTCTACAAGATGCTGGACAGAGTCAAAAATCAATGATTGTCAATGTGCTGGGTATGTGCTTTTCTTCTGTCTTGTGTCATTGCAGTTTTCTTGTTTTATTATAAAATACCAAATTCAAACCTCGAAATATGTAGGACTAGAGAAATTAATACAGCTCTGATGCACAAGACCCATAAAGCAGAGAAATAAGTCAACACGGAGAAAACCTTTTCCAAAGGCCCTCTGATGGGAAACAGGGCTCATGGTGCCCTCTAGCTTCCAGACAAAGCAAACCCTACCTGATTTTAGCAATCACACCTATTTGTCCTATGACAATCTATGTTTAGATTCACTTTGGTACCTACAGCTACCTCATGGGAGCGCATAGCTGGAACTACTCAACATCACTAGGACACACACACACAAAGTGGCTTTAAAGTGGCAGATAATAGTCAAAACCTGCAGTTTAACAGTATCAGCCACTGATTTCAAATTCTTTGTGCTCTATAGGATAGTCAAAACTTTTCTTCCTCTTTGATGGTCAACATCACAAATTGGTATCTGATTGAAAAGTCTTAGTTGGGAGCATCAGTTACTCTCTAGAGCCATTACATCTAGCATAACCCAACCCCAGCAAAGACCAAAAATTTACTGACACTCCTGGTAGGTAACAGGGACCTGCACGAAGATCACAGTAAACGGAGGGACAGGCTGCAGTACAGTCCAAGAATTTTGGCTCACTCCTACTTTCTAGACACTGCAAAAGCTTAGCCTGTTTTAGACGTAGTACAGAGTAGGGTGGAAAAAAGCAATAGTTCAACCATGAGAAGACCAAGCAAAATATATGAAAAGAGTGGAATGAAATAGTTTACTTGCAAATGAAAATGAATGTTTGTATTAAATCCATCCAATCACTGTATTTAAATAAAGAATTCATACCTGGTCAGAGCGACAGGTCAAAAGGGTATGAGGAAGTGATTCCAGTAATATCATTTGTCCATCTGCCAGGGATTAAAGAGAGAGATGTATAAATACACCCCCTGAAAAGTCACATTGTCAAAACATAAATATTAATTCTCAGCTAAAATCCCCAAAAGAAGAGTAATTCTTAAAACAGTTAAGTAAGAGATTGTAATCTCTTTTTCACGGCAAACCCAAGAAAGGTTGTTCACTCACACAAAACTGGGTCATATTCACAGCTGATATCATTACTGCAAGATACTGAAGAATAAGGCCTTGATTCTCTCTCTTTATGTGGAAAATGCCTTGTACCTCTGAAGAAAGGCACTGCCACATATGTGGCAGAAAATGATCTATGATAAATAGTGATTGGCCCATTATAATTAAAATAATTGATAATCTTCCAATCTAGCATCTCACCATCATCATAATAGCATTTACAATGCAGATGCAAGAAAAGATAATAAAAATGTATCTTGGACCATATATATGTGTATGTATATATATTATATGTATGTGTATATATTTATTTAAAATTGCTTAAACCTTTATGGAGAACATTTTCTCAGATCCACAAACAAGACTTTGTTCTGAAATGGAACTCTGTAACCGGGGCTTAATTTTTCACTTCCAGCAGCACAAGAACAGAAATTGATGTGGAAGCCTCAGCCTCCCTGTGTTCTCATGATATCTATTCTCTCTCTTGTTATTTTACAGTGAAGCCATCAAAGCCTTTTTGCAAAGTAGAAGGAACCCCTGAGAAGGGCCATCTTATCTCTCTTTCGTGCCACAGCGAAGTAGGACTGCCTCGGCCCACTTACCGCTGGTACCGATTAGATGAGGACACCCTCAAACCCGTGACTGAGCAATTTGGTATGTAAATAAGGACTACCCGGTAATAGTCAAGATCTGCAGTTTAACAGCATCAGCCACTGATTTCAAATCCTTTGTACCATACAGGGTAGTCAAAACTTCTTTTGATGCTCAACATCACTAATCGGTATCTTCACTACTCAGATTGCATGACAGCTGTCACAAACACAGGATTTTGGGGAGGTCTGTTTTATGCATGTTAAAGTCTCATCTATAACATTACCTTAAATCATTAAAATGGGAGAAAATATTATGCCTTTGCACCTCCCTTCACTTGAGATTATGACTGCATTTATTCTCAGAATGACTCAATTTGCCATACAACTGCTGATCTCCATCCTGAAAATACTTCAGTACCTGATTACATTTTTATTTATGAGTTTATATTGACAGTAATACTAAAACCACCAGAGAGACATATGTGGTTGCAGGGTAGGTGTCTACTTCTCATGTTTTAATAAACACATACAAAATTCTCTGTAATAACTTTTAAGGAAAGTAAATTTCTTAAAAAATTTCAATTGAAATAACATCAAATTGAAAGTAAGCCTTTTTTTATACTCTTTCAATTGAAAGCAAATAAATGAGTAATAGGAAAAACTTTTAGCTTGTCCTGCTTTTCATCTTTTAACAGCTCTCAGTATTACTAACTAAAGAGAATCTGTTGCCTGCACAGCGCACAGTCACCGTGTACATGTTCTCTGTTTGTCACAGATCCAAAAACCGGAGTTCTTTTCATTGGCAATCTCACCACCTTTGAAACAGGATATTACCACTGCATAGCGAGCAACACCCTGGGGAACAGTAGCTGTGAGCTTGACCTGACTATAAAGCGTAAGTCTAATGTATGAAAGTTATCACATACCTGATGTGCGTCACAACTTGTTTGCGGAAAAAAAAATGCTGCAACAGCTTTAAAACACAGATTGTTTAAAACAAGAACTGTATTGGCATTAGGTAGTTTTCATCCAGATGCGCCCAGGGTTCATCCTGAGATCTGGCACCTCTTTTAACACCTCCAGCTTCTTTTGTCACCAGACAGTAGGAACTGAACTTTGCTGTGACGGCAGAGGCCTTCGGTGGGAACTCACAGATAGGGAATATAGAGCAATTTCTTCCAGCCAACAGTCTCAGTGGGTTGTCTCCAGAATTCTCAACCAAACTGTGAATGGGGTAGTACATGGACTGGGGCACTGCAGCTGGGACCATGGACTGCAATCATGGAAAAATACCTTATCCTGATGAATGTCAGGCAGGGGCCAAGCACACCTGCATGCCAACTGCTCAGGTAACCAGTAAAATCTAACAGGAGCCAAGCATACATTGTATAGCCAGCCACAAAATGTGTCCCTGCCCTTGTCACTCAATTACTCAGTCATCTAAAAAATGAAAACTGCAGACCAGAGCTAGTAGCTGTACTAGTGAAACAGTAGTTTTTTAAGGTTCCTAGCTGGTCAGAACATCTTTTTACATCTGAGCCAAAATCATAGAATCATAGAATGCTTAGGGTTGGAAGGGACCTCTAGAGATCATCTAGTCCAACCCCCCTGCACACGCCGGGTC